CTCTATCCACTGAGCCAAACCTGTTAGGGCCGGGCATGTATCTTTGACTGGAATCAAACCTGGTACCCGTGAGTCTGCAGGCTGACGCTCTATCCACTGAGCCAAATTGGCTAGGGCCAGCTAGACTCTTTACTCTCCTCCACACACACGCTTAGCTTTTTTGCCTCCAAGCGTTCCTCTTGCAAAGTGTCATGGTTAAAAGTTTAATCTCTCGAACTAGACTGCCTGAGTTCAAATCCTGGTTCTGCTACTACGGTGTGATCTTGGGTGAGCTACCTAACTACTGTGTGCCTTATTTCTCCCACTGGAAACTGAAGCTGAAATGATATTTCTCCATCAGGAATGAAATGATTCATGAACATGCTTAGAACAACACACATCACACCCCAAGCACTCAGTAAATGCCAGCTCCTTGTTTTTATACCTGGATCTCATTATCCTTCCCACTTGGCTCAAAATGTCTCTGTCTTGATGCCTTTCCCAATTACCCCATCCTGTAAAGTGTGCTCCCTCTTGGAAAATCCCCAGTACTGACACTGTTTTTTTTTGTTTTTTGTTTTGGCAGGTTGTTGATATTCTTTCCTCATGACCACACACTACAATTTTTACCCCGCTATTTAATGAGCACTCACTTTGAGTCAGGCCTAGGGCTCATGACCACAGTTGGAGGCATGTATTTCTTTTGTTTTTTAAAAATCCTCACCCTAGAGAGAGAGACAGGGAGGGAGAGGGAGGGAGGGAGAAGCATCAATGTGAGAGAGAAACATCAGTTGGTTGCCTCCCATAGCGCCCTGACCCTGGATCAAACTTGCTACCTAGGCATGTGCCCTGACTGGGAATTGAACCTGAAACCTTTTGCTGCTCCAACCAATGGAACCACCCGGCCAGGACCCCAGCTGCTGTTGAACATATCATATAGACATAGTCTCCCCAATTTGTCAGCCGTCCGTTGACTTTTTCTATAGTATTCCTCACTGAAGAGAAACCTTAGTTGTGATGTAGCCAAACCTCCCATCTTTTGCTTTAAGGTTTGTGCTTTTGCAGGCTTGTTTTACAAAGTCAGCCCCTCCCCCGCATATGTAAAGATATTCTCCTAGATTTCTTTTCTGCCTTTCAAATGTGGGTCTTAATTCATCTGCAGTTCACCTTTGTGTATGGTGGATGTGGGAAACCCAACTTTGTTTTTTCTTCATAAACTAAGCCAGTTTCGCCAACACAATCTCCTAAATAATTTACATTTTTCTCATTAATGTGTGGTTCCACCTTTACAAATACTGAGGTGCCATGGGTCCGCTTCTGAGTTCTCTATTGTTCACTGTTCTGTGATTGCACTAGTACCACACATTTTATCACCGTGTGGTAATGACACAATATCTGGCCGGGCCGGTTTCCTCTCTTGGCTCTTGCTTTTCAAAACTGGCTTAACTATTTCAAAATTTATTTTTCCTCACATATTTTATAAGTTTATTGAAGTTCCTTAAACGTTGAGTTCCTGCTGGAATTTTGGTGGTTATAACAGTAATCTTAGAGTTTAAATGGGCATTTTTACAATGTAAAGTCATCCTATCCATGGAATATCTTCATTTATCCAATCTTCTTGTATGTCCTTAAGTAGAGTTTTAAAATTTTCTCCATAAAGTTCCTGGATACTATGCTTTAGCATTTAATTGCTATGCTGAATGGTATCTTATTGCCTATTATATTTCCTGGTTGTTTACTGCTGATGTATCAGAAACAATTGATTTTTAGAAATTGATCTTGTACTTGGCAACCTTCTTGAACTCACTTATTACTTCTAATAGTTGATTCTGTTAAGATTTTCTAGGCTAATGATTTTATCATTTGCAAATAGAAATATTTTAGGGGCTCTATCTAGTACTCTGCTTTGATATTTTGCATTTAACTATCTCTGCTAATTGGACTCCAATCTGGCACCCCAATTCTGACAGCTGGATGTCTCTTGTATACCCCGATTCTGGAAGCAGAATTCTTTTCTTCCCTCCTCTGAATGATATCCTGCTCACTACCTCAGTCCATGTAAGAGCAGTGACACTGTCTTCTTTTGCCTATTCCCTCCAATCCTCTCATGGTTTGGTAGACTCTGTCTAATGGTTTGGTATCCTGGAAATTTGCCTGTGTATATACTATATGCTGTTTGGGTGTAGCAGAAAAAGCCAGTGGCCTGGCTGGTTCTAACAGAGACTTTTATTATCATTAAGAACAACTCAGCTAGCCACACCCTGTCATTTACTAAAAGGGGTATCTCAGAGAAATAATGTAAATCAGCAATAAAAGTGAACTGTGTACCTGTGGAAACTTCATCAATAGCCTCTTCTGTCACACATGGATCTTTATGAGTTTCTGTGCTCACTGACAATAGGGAACATTTATAGTTACTTAAAGCCAACCAAGGGCAGATTGCCTTCCTCCTTTTCATCGGTTAAAGAGTTGGGCGGGGTCGAGCAAGAACAGGGTAGAAGAGAGCAGGGAGAGGGAGGTGGAGTCGGCCCCCCCTCCCCCATGGAGAAGTAAGCCTCTGCCTCGCACTATCATCCCCGAGAGAGCAGGAAGACGCTAAACCTGCAGGGACAGAGAAACTGGCAGCTGACCAGGAGCTGTGGGATGGTCATGGCATTTACATGTTGTGCAAGTGCTAGGGTTTTAGTTGACAGCAAGCCCCACCCCATTCAGCAATGTGATGGGACTGCTGCAAACACCGGTTTTGATATTTTGAGCTACGCCAATGGAAACATAGGACGCAGAAAGAGGTGGCCGCTCTTCTCCTCTCCACGCGACAGGACACCCGGTTTCCTTCCTGAGCTCTAGACAAGCTGAGGTGCACGCCTCAGAGTCCCTCAACATGCGGGTGAGTGGGGTCATCACCCTGTCCTAGAAGGAACAGCCTCAGGGGACAGAGAATGCTTGTCCTCTGGACCCTGCCTAGGAGTCAGGTCCAATCTGTAGGTTCCCTGGGGTGGAAAGAGGAGGAGATGCAGGGAGGGGACGTTAGCTCCCAAGGTAGGAAGTTACCTCTCAAAAAGGCGGACGACAGGGAAAATGGTTGCTTTCAAAGGAAGGGCTTTTTGCAGAGACATGAATAGGCATTTATTCAGTATCAGCCGCTGCCAGGCACGGTGCTTGGTGCACGGGGAAGTACAGGGTAGTAATCTGTACCTCAGAGCCAGAACAGAGGGCCGGGAGAGAGGCGTTAGGGCGTAGCACTACGGACTTGGTGTTAAAAGCCTCAGTCATGGGAAGCAATGGACTTACTTTCTTCATCAAGGGGACTCATTAAGTGTCAAATAACACCTTCCCTTCCCCTGGATGGTGGAGATCCAGATGTCAGCCTTCCTGCTGTTAGTTGTCACAGTTACATCACTTTCTGTTTCTTGGGGGAGGGAGAAGGGGACCAGGAGAGGAGAGGGTGAGAAGGGCCAAAGCAGAGGGGAAATGAACTTCTGGGATGACTGCTCACTTCTGCCTCTACACTGACCCCCTTGGGTGTAATTATCTAACTTTGGGCAGAGCACTGACCAGGCTTTTTACAGCCAGATCTGCAAACAGGCAACTGACCGATGGACCTCATCTGGGCTGTGCACGGGGCTAGACGCTGGGGAGCCCCAAACGGACGAGACCAGGTTCCTGCCCCAAAGAAGGTGGTAGGAGCGCATCTAGCTCGGGAGGCAGGTCTGGTCGGGCCCGCTAAGGGCTTTCATAGAAGAGTGTGCAGCGGGCCAAGGGCTGCTTCCCCGGTCACTGCCCAGGGCCAGGCGGGGTTCCCCCGGAGCCCGCCTCGGGCTGCGGGAGGCGGGGGGAAGTGAGTCCCAGCGGCCCACCTCCACGCCAGGTGAACCCAGGAGCACCCCACAGCGTTCCAACCTCCAGGCCCAACCTTCTGTCCGTGGGAGGCTGGGGGCTCAGG